TCATCTTATCCAGGTAATTAGAACAATTAAATAATTGACCGACTAATACAACGCACTCTTGATGGAAAAGAGTATAGCTGCAATAAATCCTACAAAACAGAAAAAATGCGCAGTTAACCTATGCATGCACCAAGACAGTTGTTCTTATAGCAAGTCGAATAGCTTTGAAGTAGGTGCCTGCAACGATTTATTCTTCCCCATACTCAAGAAAACGCCAACCACGTAGCTAAAAATAAGGGTGCACTTCACACTCACACACACAAAAAAGGAAGAAAAGCGATCGAATGTAGAATCGTGGATTAGCACAAAAGGTTAAAATCGCAGGAGCTTCCTCGCTAAAAGTTGCTATGGTTGTTAGGTGACGGAGGGCTGAAACAACTTCCCTTAGGCCCTAACGCGACGTATACATTTCGCGTAGATTCTCAGATATTTCAACGTTCAAACAAAGCTAAGAGAATGCGAAAATTTTATGTTAAAAGCACTCAAAGTTCTATCGATCCTCGTTCACATCCCGGAATCCAAGCACCGGTACGGCGATGCAGAGCTGATGCTGTCTCACAGGCGTTAATATCCAGATGATCCAGAGCGATCTTGCGCAAAAACGGTATAAAGTCTCATTCCTTCATATTTTCACATTATACCTGCGTCAGCGAGCACGAAGAAGCCCGAAGTCGTCGGAAAGCAGCTGCACATCACGGCGACCGCGCACCGAACAAACTCGCATCCGCCAGCTCTGGGCGCTGCCATCTTACCTGTGACGTCACGGCTCTTGGGAGGTCACGTGACGAGTGGTCACATTTGCGTAAAATATGGCGGCAACCGGGGGGGTGCCACTTCCGAACTTCCGGTTTATCACTCTAAGCCCCTCTACCTCGTTGCGTTTTAGCTTCAACTGGGTTCTAGAGAGCCGTGTAGCACCATCTCAGTTCAGTTCAGTTCAATCACAGTTGGGGCCGGTAACTGTGATTGAACTCAACGACAGTTCAAAGCGCCCGTGTAACTAGGGTATAACACAACTACATTACCGGTTACTGTTTTGAAAATACAACGAATACATTACGCTCTACCGCAGTTATTGTAACGCGCTACCACCAAAACTAGTTCTGTGTAGATCTTTCCGAATCGCATACTATTTGGGCGACGGGGTGTGCAGTCTTCAAATAGAAAACAAATACTATATGTCCACGGGACAAACCCGGGGAGACAAACTAGAGAAGGTAAAGGGATTTCAATGTGGTTATAAACTGAGGCATGTTGCGCGTATTCTTTCTCTTCGGATTGAAAGAATGATGAAATTTATTTTGATTAGTTCAATTTCAGGCCCGTAATTTTTTTTCATAACAAACTCAAATTTAAAAGAAAAGATGGGTTAAAAAACCACCGAAAAGAAAACATTTTTTTAGGTCTGGTTGAGACACCCGTGTCAAAAAATAAGTTTTACGCGAAAAAAAGTTGGAGTAAGATTGACAGTGCGATATTTATTTCAAATTTTGTGCGGAAAGTCCATGGCGTTGTGGAATGGTCATACACTCTTTCCACCTCAACGAAATGGTCATACACTCTCTCCACATCAACGTGATGGCCAAGCCAATCCACCTTTGCTCCACGCACCCGAAATGCCGAGAGAAAACAAACTCTAAACTTTTTTTTTTTTTTTTTTTTTTTTTGACGCAAATTTTTTATTTTTTTTTACACGCGTGTTCTTAATAAATTGTTAAAAAATATTTTTTTTTCTTTTCAGTGACCTTTAATGCGAGCTGGCGTCATTGTTTGCGATCTGAGTGACCACCTCCCAATATTCATTTCTCTCAAAAGTTTCCCGAAAAAAAATTGTAGGACAGAGCGGACATTAGTACAAAAAATAACTTTAGATCGACTCAACGCTTTTCAGACCGCTGTTTCAAATACAAATTGGAGCCGGGTACTGTGTGAGGATAGTGCTGACGGGGCTTATAACACTTTTATAGAGTTATTTCTTGGACTGTATAAGACATATTTTCCTTTCACTTCTACTAAAACAAACAAGCGCATAAAGAAGCCTTGGATAACGAGAGATTTACTCTGTAAAATTAAGATAAAAAACTCTTTATATGGTAAATTCATAAAATCCAAGGACCAGAAGGACCTTAAAGTATTTAAAAACTATCGCAACAACCTGACAAAAGAACTAAAGCGCGCCAGAACGCGTTATCATTTTGATTTGTTCAAGGCCACACAAGGACGCACTGACATGATGTGGAAGCAACTAAATTATCTTCTTTATCGTAATCGCCCCTTCAGTTCAATTGAAAAAATTCTGTGCAATGGTACTGAACTTACTGGATGTTCACTGGCAAATGCTTTTAACGAACATTTCGTAAATATTCAGAGTACTACTGAAACCGAAACTCCTTTGGTTTTAAATGATAAACGAAACAGTGATTCGATATTTTTAGATCCCGTCGTCGAACCAGAAATTATAAGCGTGTTTCTTCAGCTTAAAAATAGTTCTAGTTGTGACGTCGATGGTATCCAGATAAGACCGGTAAAACATGTTATTCATCTGTTAGCACCTGTAATAACTCATATATTTAATATCTCTTTATCTACTGGAATTTTTCCTAAGCGAATGCAGATTGCCAAAGTTTCAGTATTGCATAAAAAAGGAAATGTAAATGAAATGGGAAACTACAGGCCAATTTCAATATTACCAGTGTTTTCCAAGGCGCTCGAAAAGGTTATTCATACACGTTTGACTAAATTTTCAAATAAGTATAACTTGATAACTCCATCGCAGTATGGATTTATAAAACACAAGTCGACAGAATCCGCCTTACTTGTTTTAAAAGAATTTATTTTACAAAGCTTTGAAAACAAAAATATGGTTCTTGGAGTCTTTATAGATTTCACCAAGGCGTTTGACTGCCTCAATCATAAAATGTTACTATCTAAATTAGATAATTATGGCATTCGAGGGCACGCTTTACAGCTGATAAGATCTTATCTGAAGCATCGAGCACAATATGTTTATATCAATGGGAATTCTTCTACTATAAAACCTATTCCTTCTGGTGTACCACAGGGTAGTATATTGGGCCCCTTCCTCTTTAACATGTACGTGAATGATATAGTCAATATTAATGTAAGCGCAAAATTTGTAAACTATGCTGATGACACGAGCATACTGTTTTCTGCAGATGATCCTGACCTATTATTCGATATGGCGAATCTGGCCCTGTCTAGGTTACAAACGTGGAGTCATAACAACGCATTACAAATAAATGTAAATAAAACCAAAGCCGTGCTTTTTCGTCCTAAAAGTAAACTCGTTACCATTACCAAGGAGATAGTTTTGAATTCAACCAAAATCGAGATTGTGAATTGTTTTAAACTCTTAGGTGTCATGTTTTCTGAAAATATGTCGTGGGAAAGTCATATAAACTCTCTTATTGCAAAGCTATCCCAAACTGTGGGCATGTTAAATCGACATCGTTACATTTTACCAACAAGCGTTAAATTATTAATATATAATTCTCTATTTTATTCTCACTTAATTTATTGCCATTTAGTTTGGGGAACAACAACTTTAACAAACCTAGAAAAGTTACATGTATTGCAAAAAAAAGCACTGAGGGCTATAGCTGCCGTCTCGTATGATTTTCACACAACTGGCTTATTTCAAAAATTTCGCGTATTAAAAGCGCATGCATTATATGATTACAGGCTTAGCACTAGCCTTAAAGTAGAGCAACTTAAAGACTCAACTTTTTTAACAGATCTTGGAAATTTATCAAAAAATGTTCATAATTACCCTACCCGAGGTGCTGAATGTTGGGAGGTGGCTACACCAAGAACAAACTATGGCAAACAAATGCTTAAATACACTCTCCCCAATTTACTCAATTCGTATAAGACTAAAAGTATAGATTGGAATAAGTTATCCCTAAGAGAAGTAAAATCATCTTTTTTCTCTAGCAGCTGAAGGTAGTTGCCTTTCTTTCTTTGTGATCTTTGTAACTAGTTTTGCATAATTTTATCTCTGCTGTCTGTCCTGCCTCAATGTAAAAAAAGGGAAAAGAAATCTAAAATTTGTTTTAAAATGTTTTTAAAATGTGTGATAGCGACAATCATTGTACAATTTTTTTTCTTTTCTCCTCTTGAATATCGTTTTTTCCGGCTCTGTTGCTGCTTTCTGTAGGCGGTCAGGGACCCGTCAAGCTGTACCTGACAGCTTTTTTCCCTGATCGCCACCATCTTATGGTGGAAAATAAACATTATTATAAAGAAGTTGAATTTTTGTTTCACTACACCAGTTTTTGGGTATACGCTCGCAGCCATGCCCAGCTTACTTTTTGCGGTCCGTATAAGCTTGGCGTGGTTTGTATATTGTATTTATTTCATTGAAATATGAAGCATTCAGTTTATTTCCTGTCGTGAATCCGCGGGACGTCTTACAAATTCAATACTAGGATCGACGATGTATAATTTTCAGTTTCAATAGCGTTCCCAGTTATACTACCTGATAATTAATGTTTCTGAGCTTCAGTCATTGTATCGGGAAGCCTATCAATACTTTATATGTCAATAAGACGCAAATGTATTTATTAATGCCAAATTGCGTTCTTACGGAAACTAACTGGGAATTCCCACCAGCGTTCATTGCGCGTTGGCACTATAGAGCTGGCCAAAACTTTAAAACATGAACAGAAAAAAACAAAGAAAAGCACAAGACAGACCAGCTGACGGCACGGCGACACGACGCTTCGAAAATACTTCGACAGCTGCCAAAAGTTTTCAGAAAGCAAGAAAAAAAAAAAAAAAGGTAGGAAAGAGGCAAGGGGCAAAGGTTTGCAGAAACGGCGGTTCGTGCTAAGAAGGCCCAAACTGGACTTTTGCGTGCACTACGGAATAGATCTAAATGCGGCTTCAATTTTTTAATAGAAAGGGAAACGAGTCAGAACTTTTTATTTCTATAGTGTTCCCCGACAAGTGCATAATCGAATGGGACCTGGGTCGCTGACCTGTTTGAGATCGAGCGTGATGGTGACCCACTGGTACTTGCGCCCGTTCTGAAGCGTCGGGCTCTGCCACCAACGGTTGCTGCCGTCGATGGCGTACTCGATCGGATGCCTTTTGTCGGCGTGCCGGCTTGAAGCATCGCACTCTCCGCACTGCGGCTCCCTGGAAGAAAAGAAACTCGTTGACGTTCAAGTCGACTCAAACACGTTCTCGGTAGTGCTGCGGGCTGTTTTCTGTCATCCATGAAAGTTTACAACTCCCCATTCATCAGCAGAGTTTCCCAGTAGACCGCAGAAAGCGTAACGGGTGCGAAGTCAGACTTCATAGATGCCAGTCTTTCGCGCCAACTCTTGAAGCGGAAAGAGCTTCCAACACGCAAAATTTTTTTTATACTTTTTTTTTTTTGGGGGGGGGGGGGGGTGGTAAAACAATGCAAACAGAGACAAACACATTGAAGAGAATTCACAATAAAGGACTAGTTGTGCGTCCTTTCAAACCCATTCAAAAATTAAGTCAGAACTCGAAGCATGCTCCAGTGAGCACATAAACGGAACATGAACTATATATATATATATATATATATATATATATATATATCATTAGAGCGCATGATTTATAAAAACAAATATGCAGGCTGCATCCACGGTGAATGGACTTACTATATAATATAACATAAAGAATACCTTTAATCAAAGAGGATTGTTTATTTGCTAGCCGATTGCACATCGCCCTACTCTTCGACATGCTATGTTTCAGTACTGCTTCGTCCCGTTGACTGACAGCTAGATATTTGCCACATGGCTTATACGGCCCCTTGGATAAGCCCAAAACACGTGTTTAACGAAACATCGTTTATTTCCATCATGAGCGACGGGGGATACCGAAGACAAAAGTCGCATTTTATGCAGCTCGACGAGCCCTGGTACAAGTGCACTTGACTGGGACACTCGAGGACGATAGTCGTTAACAGCTTTCCTCAAAGGGTTTATCCTGGAAGCCTCGTATTCGCAGAAAATATTTCGCCAATATTTAGCTTTTTTAGCTTCATCCTGAACAGTACACAAACATTTAAAAAAAACAAAAAACAAAAAACTTACTTATTAGTCCAAACATATCCCATGCATACTTTGTTAGAAATAACCTCTTTAGAACGGTAGGTGCTAAACTATTAAGGTTGTCTAGTTGGTTCAACATACAGAACACATGAAGCGCAAAGAAGGATACAAAGACGTGTAGTAAAATAAAGAATGTAGCCCTCCCTTGTCTACTTCATGTACTTGTCTGTCCCTTTTTGCTTTATATTTCCAGTCTGTAGAACGGTAGGGATGTGTCCTAGCCGTGCCTCGGGTCTGTGGCCGAACGTCGTACATGTTCTGTGCAAACAAAAAAAAAAAACACGGCTCTTCTGAGTCCTGCGCGAGCTTTCTGCTCTCGATATTGCTCTGCCGGCGCGCAATCAGGGCAGTGCAAAAGTCAGCCGATTCATAATAGAGGCAGGTCAACCAGAAACATCTCTTTAAGCTTCTGATCCTGTTCGCGACTATAGCAAAAAAGGTCCCAAAATGAAATTGTACATAAGTACAATAATACAGGTGCAGCAAATAAAAACATTTTTTTTCGTAACAAAAATAGAGCCGCGAGTTCCAGCAGTATTAAATGAAAGATTAAAACGTTATGATTGCGTACATTACGTAAATTATTTAAACGTAAGAAAATGTTTTCAGCGTTATTTGTGCTGCGGACGCCAGGCAATGTCAGAGCACAAGTTCGTCTGCTTCTTGCGCAAGGGTAGCGGTGACGTCGAAACGCCGAGTTCTGATTGGTTCTGGTTGGAAGGATAGTGGGTAGACCTCGCTGCTAGCAACCTTTATTTCTATCCATTATCCTTCCAATCGAACCAATCAGAGCTCGGCGTCATTCTGACGTCAGCACAACCCCCCAAGAGAAGCAGACAAACTTCCGCTCCGCATATCCTAAAGGTAGCTTGACTTGGTATGTTACCTTTGTATTTACAAGTCACGGTTAAAGAAGCCTTTTCTAACTATAACATTATGACGTATAGCTCCTCGCTGACATCTTTTAGACCTCCTTTTTAAATTAAATATGAAGGAGATGTAAAAGAACGGTGAAAGACAAACGAAACTTGTCATTTGCGATTTTTTATTTGGCCTTCGTCGATGTTTGAAGATTTGTAGATTTATGACCACAGGTAGCTAAGTACAATTTTTTTTATTTGTATGGATCTTAAAGCATCTACAAAAAATGACAACCATAGAAAGATAATAAAAAACATATATGCTACCCATAAAGCGGACAAAATCTCTAAAGAGTTGAGCTGCTCCAACTTTGTAGCTATCTAATAAAAATGAAGGGATCGGTAAAGTCATAATACGTATATCGCGATCTCGCGCTGTAAACTTCTGGGTTCTGGGCTCAAATATTACCCCGTAATAAAACACTGACTAGGTCATCGTTGACCAGGTCATCCTTAATTGATCTCTGACCCGCCCCAAGTGGCACACACGCTGAACCGCAATGTAAGTGCTTAGCAAAGCGGCAGATTTATGTGCCGTTCCAGACGCCCTCGTAGCGACGCGAAAGCAAGCTAGCATGGATTGCGCGGATCCACTAATAGTTAAGAACAGAGGCAAGGTGTGAGCATAGTCTTCTAGACAGGGCTTACACCTTGCCTCTAGACAAGGCCAAGATTGAAAGAGCTGGAGTGCAGTGATAATGGAGGCAAATAAAAATGATAGGAATGCAGCAAAGAGGTTCTGGGGGAACATCTTCGATGGAAATAAAGGCAATTATTATGATTTTATATGATTATTACATTAATGCACAGGGGAGGGACACAGAAGAATTTCACTGTTCCTTCACGACACACAAGAGGATAGGTGTAAAGGGCGAGGAGGCAAGGAAATTGACTAGATGAAGAGCCGAAGCAACATTCGCAGAACTTTAACCAAAGGAGATTAGACAGAACACAGACAGCAAGACGGCACAAGACGGGAACACTAACGACACAACTGAGGCAACCATGGGGGAATGGAACAAAGCAGAAAGTAAAGAACCAGTCAGTGGACACGGCAACCACGCCGTGGCTATGCCTAACCTACTTCCTACAATCACGCAGGTACTCGGTTGCCTCTGCATCATATCGGACGTACGGACGACATCAGTGACCGGCCGATTATGGAAGATTGGCGATCACTCGCCGGTCGATCAAGGCGAGTCATCACAACCGCTACACGTGGACAAGATCTACTACGCATATGCTGGGAGCACGGTGACGTCACACAACCATCAAGATTCCAGCCAGCTGCTGCATATAAAAGCAACGCCCGTGCCTGCAGACTTCAGTGGACACGGCAACCACGCCGTGGCTATGCCTAACCTACTTCCTACAATCACGCAGGTTGGTGATCGTAAATATGGTTTTCGTAGTGACCATCTATGTTTTTTAGTGTTGCCGTGTCCACAAACACTCCTACAATGTGCAAGTGATTGTCTGTCAATGGCAAGTCTGTTGCTGAAGCTATCCGGAGATGTCGAGGAAAACCCCGGTCCAGTCACAGATGAGATACTGGCGCCAATACTTCAGACTCAAAATGACATCCTAAAAAGAATTACCGAAATCCAAGGAAAACAAAATTCCTCAGAAGCCAACTGCTTAATTGTGCAGAACAGGCTGTCGGAGATTGAGAAAAAACTGGAGTGCGTGGACGAATCCAGTAACAGACTTGCCAGGTTGGAAAGTGCTTTCACCGGTCGGGATGATGAAATGTATAATCTCTCTAGACAAGTCGACGACCTAGAAACTCGGGGGCGGAAAAATAACCTTATCATCAGAGGAATCGAGGAAGAACCACTGGAGAGCGAGGATACGTGAGCGAAAATTGTGGTTGATCATGTGTTCGGTGCTAAACTAAACGTAAAAAATGACTCCATTGAAAGAATACACAGAATAGGCAGAAAGTTTCCGCGCGGAAATCGACCGGTTATTGTTAAGCTTGCGGATTTTCGGGACAAAGTCACAATTCTGAAAAACCGTGTCAAACTAAAAGGTACCGCATACAGCATTAATGAAGATTTCTCCAAACGGATTAATGAAATTAGGAAAAATTTATGGAGTTCCGCTATCGAGGAAAAAAGACAAGGGTCAAAGGTAAAATTGATCTATGACAAATTAAAAGTAAACGATACAATGTATGCGTGGGACGAAAATAGGAAGGCAAGGTACCCTGTGTCGCCGGGAGCATCCAGTCTCGGTGAGGCTAATAGTAACTGACTGCACCAGAGTGCACGGATGGACTTCAAGATAATAAACGTTAACGCTAGGAGTATTCTGAATAAAGCTACTATGGTTGAATGTGTTGTGCTAGAACACGAGCCTGACGTTATCGTGATTACCGAGACATAGCTGCACAAAGATATTTTGGACTCTGAAGTTACGCCTCCAAATTACACTATAGTGCGGAAAAATAGAGCTGGGCGTGGAGGGAGAGTAGCACTGCTCATTAAAAATGATATAGTATTCACGGTACTAGAAGTTGTTGCTGAACTCGAAATGATATAGTTGAAGACTAAGCTGAATGGTCGTCCGGTAGTTATCGGAGCCTTTTACAGACCTCCTAATTCATCTATAGACTCTAGGGACTTGTAGTAGATCGTTTTTCTCCTCCGCTACGTTATCCCCGAAGAAAACGCCGCAGCTGCGCAGGCGCGCCCCCAGCCTTGTCTGCATAGTTCAAGGTCTTGTGGCGGATTACGGAGCGTTATCCGGGTGCTTAGCGGGCTGCGGAAACGCTCTACTACAATTCCCTACTATCTTGGAGTTGCGCAACTACGTGGACTTAAAACTGCATCGGGAAAAGAATGTCATATTCTTGGGAGACTTTAACTTACCCGGTATTGATTGGCAGACACTTACTCCTGGACAGGTTGACATTTCGATTTGTGACCAATTGCTGGAACTTGCATTTTGCTATGGTCTGACGCAGGCTGTAACGGACTATACAAGAGTAACCTTAACGACGTCGACGGTACTGGATCTAATCTTTATTTCTACCAACATGATTTCAAACATGTCTAACTGTGAAACATTCGAAGGTTTATCTGACCACAAGATGGTAATGCTGACTTTGAACATGAGAGCCGAC